TATATATATATCAGCAGGAAAAAGATAAAATGGCCTTATTTCCTCAAAGCACTTGGCACAGACACAAAAGATATATAAATGAAAAGCATAGTCATCTTGTTTTACTAAGTAGTATTGGTTTGTACTTGTAATAGTATAGAATTTAGTAATCAGTTGATATGGTTTTTTCTTATGAAATTTTTTCAACATCTGGTCTTTTTACTATTATTGTTTTATACATCTTTAAAGTGATTCTAGTAGTGACCCTTGCTCCCACTTGTCAATTCCACTAAATACTGTTATGATTCGGCATGGCTGAAGACTCTGTTAGCTATGTGCAGCCCATGAATATTGCCAAATCGATCACAATCACAGGATCTGCAGATATGTATCCTTTTGTATTAATAAATTCTTTTTTCCTTAACCATCTATAATAGTGAAGAATATAGTACTTTTTTTTTTTTTTGAGACACAGTCTCACTTTCTCACCCTCCGTAGAGTGCTGTTGCAGCATCACACTGCTCACAGCAACCTCCAGCTCTTGGGCTTAGGGTCCTCAAACTTTTTAAACAGGGGGCCGGTTCACTGTCCCTCAGACCGTTGGAGGGCCAGACTGCGGGCCTCAGGATGAGTGGCTGCTAAGCAGGACAGGCAGTGGCAGCAAAAACATCTGGTGGGCCAGATAAATGTCCTAGGAAGCCACGTGTGGCCCACAGGCCCTAGTTTGAGGACGTCTGGGTGATTCTCTTGCCTCAGCCTCCCGAGTAGCTGGGACTACAGGCACCTGCCACATCACCAGCTATTTTTTTGTTGCGGTTTGGCCATGGCCGGGTTTGAACCCACCACCCTCGGTAGATGGGGCCAGCGCCCTACTCACTGAGCCACAGGCGCCGCCCAAATATAGTACTATTTTTAACCATCTGTTTCAGTAAGGAATATAATTTAGCTCTTTGATTTGCTAACACAATAATTTTCTTATTTCTACCCCTGGTTGACTCTAGTATTCTCTGTGAGCCAGGCCCTGGCTGTCATCTCTTTCCCTCACTGGGTGAATTCAGGACTTCCAAATAAAATATATGCAAATGCTTACAGAGTCCAATCTGCAGATCTACTTCTATTACCATGGCCATGGAGGCACTTGAGTATATCACTGGCTCATCAAACTTCACTATGGACTAGTAGTTTGAAATCTTTTCTTTTCCGAGACAGAGCCTCAAGCTGTCCCCCTGGGTAGAGTGCCATGGCATTACAGCTCACAGCAACCTCCAACTCCTGGCTCAAGCGAGTCTCCTGCCTCAGCCTCCCAAGTAGCTGGGACCACACGTGCCCGCCACAACACCCGGCTATTTTTTGGTTGCAGCTGTCATTGTTGCTTGGTGGGCCCGGGCTGGATTCGAACCCGCCACCTTAGGTGTATGTGGCTGGCGCCTTAGCCACTTGAGCCACAGGCGCCAAGCCTGTAGTTTGAAATCTTACCTTCCCTTTCCAGGTACCCTACTTCTCTGACTACCAGTATTATCTTCCCAGACACTCAGGCTAGGAGCTCCTGAGTCACCTTTCATTTCATTCTTAGTTTCTTCCTTTGAAATCTTTCTCTCTATACCTTATGTTCTAGTTAACATGATGTACATGTTATTTCTCTACTTGAGCCAAAGGAACTGAATTGTCATTCATATAGAATAATGACATATACATACATTCTAGTTATGTATATATACACATTCTGTTAACATGATATACATGTTATTTCTCTACTTGAGCCAAAGGAACTGTTCAGTATATACAGTATATGAACTGTGCAGTTCAAAGGAACTGTTCAGAATATACATACATTCTAGTTAACATGATGTACATGTTATTTCTCTACTTAA